GATAAAAAGCCCGTCACTGGCCATCCCGCCTTCACTCCCGGACCCGCGCGCCATCTTGCTGCTCGTCTCGCCGGTCGGGGAGAGGCTTTATCCCCCCGCGGACTCGCCTTGAGCGCTCCAAGCCAGGTAACCGCGCCGCTCGGCTCCCCGCGCTCGCAGGCAGCAACGCGCTGGGGACGCCCGGCGAGCGGGGCCCCGCGTGTTTCCCGGCGCGCGTCGAAAGTGTTTCTCCGCTTCCCGGCCGGGCTACGACGCCGGAGCCCGCTGCTCCCACGGCAGAGCTGGGCAGGGCCAGGGCGGCAGCAGCCGCGGGGGGGCTGGCCTGGAAAAGGTTGGCTGGGAGTGCGAGTTAAGTGTGGCCTGGGCGGAGGCTGGGGCGGGCGTGTGGGGTGAGCTGGCTGGGCTAAGTACGCCAGAGTCTGTGTGTCTGGTGATTTTCTTTCACTGGTAGGGGTTGCTGGGAAATGTCTGGCCCTGTGTTGAGCAGTTGGAATGATGTGTAAGGGGTGTGCTTTGTTACAGGTGGATCTACAAAGGGAGATATAATTGGAGGCAATTTTTGCTCTGGGTTTCCTCCTTAGAGCCACCAGCCTTCCACCAAAGGCAGGCAGAGGGAAAACTGTGCCAGCAGCCGAGGGGGGTGCTTGGCAAAGATTTGATGGGAAATCGGGTAAGTGGCCTTTCTGGAGGGTGGGAGCATGTGTGATGAGCGGGTGGAGGTAAGAATCCAATAGTCTGTGCATCTGGTAATTTTCCTTCACTGGTGCTGGTTGCAGGGATTTTTTGGCTGGTTATTGAGGAGTTTCAATTGTTTGGAACGGGAATGTTTTGTTCCAGATGAGTCTACAAGTGACAATACAATTGGAGGCAAAGCTTTGAGAAGGGCCTCCTTCTAATAGGGAATGGGGTAAGTGGGATTTTTGTGGGCACACGAGGGTGTGAGTGGTGAGCTCCGGGGGGGGGGGGGGGTAAAGTATGCAAGGGTCTTTCTGTCTGGTGATTTTCCTGCACTGGTGGCAATTGAAGGGACTGTTTTGCCATTTGATGAGCAGTTGGAATTGTGTGTAATGCGAGTCCTTTGTTACAGGAAGTTGTACAATTGGCAATGGGATTAGAAGCAACGCTTTGAGCTAGGCCGCCTCCTTAAAACCACCAGCTATACAGCAAAGGCGCAGGAATTTGGGAAAGGAAGGAAGAGAGTAGCCCACAGAGCCACTTGTCTGGGAACGGTCTAGTTGGAAATCGGGTAAGTGTGGCTTTAGCAGGCATACGACGGTGTGTGTGTGGTGATCTGGCTGGGGTAAGTATGCAAGAGCTTTTGTGTCTGGTGATTTTTTTTTTTTTTGTTTTGGGCACTGGTGGTGGTTGCAGGAACTATGCTGCTGTATAGTTTGATTCGTGAGTAATGCGTGTGCTTCGTTACAGGAGGTTCTTCAATTGGCATTGGGATTAGAGGCAAGGCTTTGAGCTGGGCCTCCTTCTTAAAGCCACCAGCTATACAGGAAAGGCAAAGGAAGAGAGCAGCCCACAGAGACACTTGCCCGGGAACAGTCTCATGGGAAATCGGGTAAGTGTGACCTTTGAGGGCGTGTGTGGTGAGCTGGCTGGGGTAAGTAGGCAAGAGTCTTTGTGGTTGGTGATTTTTTTTTGGGGGTGCACTGGTGGTGGTTGCAGGAACTGTGCTGCTGTGTAGTTTGAATTGAGAGTAATGCGTGTGCTTAGTTTCAGGCGGTTCCTCAGTTGAGATGGGCCTCCTTCAAGCCACCAGCTACACAGCAAAGGGGAAAGGAAGAGAGCAGCCAACGGGCGCTTTCCTGTGAACGCTTACATTTACCCCTTTTCCTCTGAGACGTTTGCGGAGTATGCAGCCGTGTCGTGAGCTGAGTAGGGTAAGTATGCAAGAGTCTTTGTGTCTGGTGGTTTTCTTGCACTGTTGGCGGTTGAAGAGGGACTGTTTACCCTACATTCAGCAGTTTGAATTGTGTGTAATGCGAGTGCTTTGTTACAGGAGGTTTTTTCAATTGGCAATGAGATTAGAGGTAATGCTTTGAGATGGGTCTCCTTAAAGCTGCCAGCCATTCAGCAAAGGTGCAGGCAGAGGAGAAACGGAGGGCTCAGCGAACGGGCACTTTGCTTGGGAACGGTCTCATGGGAAATCAGGTAAGTGTGACCTTTGAGGGCATGTGCGGTGAGGTGGCTGGGGTAAGTATGCAAGAGTGTTTGTGTCTGGCTTTTTTTTGTGCACTAGTGGTGGTTTCAAGAACTGTGTTGCCATGTGTTGAGCAGCTTGAATTGTGTATAATATGTGTGCTCTGTTACAGGAGGTTCTTCAATTGGTGATGGTTTTGGAGGCAAGGCTTTGAGCTGGGCCTCCTTCTTAAAGCCACCAGCTATACAGCAAAGGTGCAGGCAGAGGGGAACTGGAGAGAGCAGCCAACAGAGGGGCACTTTTCTGGGAATGGTGTCATGGGAATTCAGGTAAGTGACCTTTGAGGGCTATGGATATGTATGTGGTGAGCTGATGGGGGGGTAAGTATGCAAGAGTTTGTGCCTGGTGATTTTCTTTTTTTTGGTGCACTGGTGGTGGTTGCAGGAACTGTGCTGCCATCTATTGAGCAGCTTGACTTCTGTGTGTAATGAGTGTGCTCTGTTACAGGAGGTTCTTCAATCGGTGATGGGATTAGAGCCAAGGCTTTGAGCTGGGCCTCCTTCTTAAAGCCACCAGCTATACAGCAAAGGCACAGGCAGAAAGGAAAGGAAGAGAGCAGCCCACAGGGGCACTTGCCTGGGAACGGTCTCATGGGAAATCGGGTAAGTGTGACCTTTGAGGGTGTGTGTGTGGTGAGCTGGCTCGGATAAGTATGCAAAAGTCTTTGTGTCTGGCGACTTTTTTTTTGTGCACTGGTGGTGGTTGCAGGAACTGCTGCTGTGTAGTTTGAATTGAGAGTAATGCGTGTGTTTAGTTTCAGGCAGTTCCTCAGTTGAGATGGGCCTCCTTCTTCAAGCCACCAGCTACACAGCAAAGGCACAGGCAGAGCGGAAAGGAAGAGAGCAGCCAACGGGCGCTTTCCTGTGAACGCTTACACTTACCCCTTTTCCCCTGAGACTTTTGTGGGGTATGCAGGCATGTCGTGAGCTGAGTAGGGTAAGTATGCAAGAGTCTTTGTGTCTGGTAGTTTTCCTGCACTGCTGGCGGTTTTCCTGCACTGGTGGCAGTTGAAGAGGGACTCTTTGCCATATGTTCAGCAGTTTGAATTGTGTGTAATGCGAGTGCTTTGTTACAGGAGGTTTTTCAATTGGCAATGGGACTAGAGGTAATGCTTTGAGCTGGGTCTCCTCCTTAAAGCTACCAGCTATATAGCAGAGGGGAAAAGAATTGAGCAGCCCACAGGGACATTTGCCTGGGAACGGTCTCATGGGAAATCAGGTAAGTGTGACCTTTGAGGGCGTGTGTGGTGAGCTGGCTGGGGTAAGTATGCAAGTGTTTGTGTCTGGCGATTTTTATTTTCTTTTTGTGCACTAGTGGTGGTTGCAGGAACTGTTGCCATGTGTTGAGCATCTTGAATTGTGTGTAATGTGTGTGCTCGGTTACAGAAGGTTCTTCAATTGGCATTGGGATTAGAGGCAAGGCTTTGAGCTGGGCCTCCTTCTTAAAGCCACCAGCTATACAGGTTGGTGATTTTTTTTTTTGTTTTGGGCACTGGTGGTGGTTGCAGGAACTATGCTGCTGTATAGTTTGATTCGTGAGTAATGTGTGTGCTCGGTTACAGAAGGTTCTTCAATTGGCATTGGGATTAGAGGCAAGGCTTTGAGCTGGGCCTCCTTCTTAAAGCCACCAGCTATACAGCAAAGGCACAGGAAGAAAGGAAAGGAAGAGAGCAGCCCACAGGGACACTTGCCTGGGAACGGTCTCATGGGAAATCGGGTAAGTGTGACCTTTGAGGGTGTGTGTGTGGTGAGCTGGCTCGGATAAGTATGCAAAAGTCTTTGTGTCTGGCGACTTTTTTTTTGTGCACTGGTGGTGGTTGCAGGAACTGTGCTGCTTTGAAGTTTGAGTTGTGAGTAATGCATGTGCTCTGTTACAGGAGGTTCTTCAATTGGCAATGGGATTAGAGGCAAGGCTTTGAGTTGGGTCTCCTTAAGCCTGCCAGCCATTCATCAAAGGTGCAGGCAGAGGAGAAACAGGGGGTTCAGCGAACGGGCACTTTGCTTGGGTACGGTCTCATGGGAAATCGGGTAAGTGTGACCTTTGAGGGTCTGTGTGGTGAGCTGGCTGGGGTAAGTATGCAAGAGTCTTTGTGTCTGGCTCTTTTTTGTGCACTAGTGGTGGTTTCAAGAACTGTGTTGCCATGTGTTGAGCATCTTGAATTGTGTATAATGTGTGCTCTGTTACAGGAGGTTCTTCAATTGGTGATGGGTTTGGAGGCAAGGCTTTGAGCTGGGGCCTCCTTTAAGTCACCAGTCGTTCAGCCAAGGCAGGCGGGGGGGAAATGGAGTGTACAGCCAACAGGGGCACTTGCCTGTGAACCCTTAGACTTACCCCATTTCCAATTAAACTTTTACAGGCTATGGAGCCATGTGTTTTGAGGTGACTAGGGTAAGTATACAAGTGTCTTTGTATCTGGTGATTTTTCCTACACTGGTGGTGGTTGAAGGGGCTGTATAGCTGCGTGTTGAGCACTTTGAATTGTGTGTAATGCGTATGCTCTGTTACAGAAGATTGTTCAATTGGCGGTGGGATTAGAGGCAAGGCTTTGAGCTGGGCCTCCTTCTTAAAGCCACCAGCTATACAGCAAAGGTGCAGGCAGAGGGGAACTGGAGAGAGCAGCCAACAGAGGGGCACTTTTCTGGGAATGGTGTCATGGGAATTCAGGTAAGTGACCTTTGAGGGCTATGGATATGTATGTGGTGAGCTGATGGGGAGGTAAGTATGCAAGAGCTTGTGTCTGGTGATTTTTTTTTTTTTTGTGCACTGGGGGTGGTTGCAGGAACTGTGCTGCTATGTAGTTTGAATTGAGAGTAATGCATGTGCTTAGTTTCAGGCAGTTCCTCAGTTGAGATGGGCCTCCTTCTTCAAGCCACCAGCTACACAGCAAAGGCACAGGCAGAGCGGAAAGGAAGAGAGCAGCCAACGGGCGCTTTCCTGTGAACGCTTACACTTACCCCTTTTCCCCTGAGACTTTTGTGGGGTATGCAGGCATGTCGTGAGCTGAGTAGGGTAAGTATGCAAGAGTCTTTGTGTCTGGTAGTTTTCCTGCACTGCTGGCGGTTTTCCTGCACTGGTGGCAGTTGAAGAGGGACTCTTTGCCATATGTTCAGCAGTTTGAATTGTGTGTAATGCGAGTGCTTTGTTACAGGAGGTTTTTTCAATTGGCAATGAGATTAGAGGTAATGCTTTGAGATGGGTCTCCTTAAAGCTGCCAGCCATTCAGCAAAGGTGCAGGCAGAGGAGAAACAGATGAGTAATGCGTGTGCTCTGTTACAGCAGGTTCATCAATTGGTGATGGGACTAGAGGAAAGGATTTGAGATGGGCCACCTCTTAAAGCCACCAGCCATACAGCAAGGGCAGGCTGAGAGGAAACAAAGGCAGGAGCCAAAAGGGCATTTGCCAAATCTCTGATAAGATCTGGGTAACTGTAACCTTTAGATCCTCAGCTGCAGGGGAAAAAAACCTGTAGAGTTTTCCCCACCAGTCTGTGTGCCTCTTAGACTGCTGCTGCACATTGTGTAGACATTTAGAGAAGCCATCTCTCTCCAGTCTGAAAACTGACCATTGATTCCTTCCCTTTGTTTCCTGTCTCTTTTTAACCAGTTAGGTATCCACGAGAGGACGTTTTCTCTTACCCCATGACAACATACTTGACGTGAGAGCCGTTGGTGGAGGGACCTTGTCAAAGGCTTTCTAGAAATCTAAGTACACTGTAGCCGCTGGCTTCCCCCTTGTCCGCATGTCTGTTGACCCCCGCCCCGGCCTCCCTGCGGCCAAAGAACTCTACAGTAAGGCATGACCTCGCTTTAGAGAAAGCATGCTGACGTTTTTGCCCCCCAAGAAATTACATTCGTCTGCGTGTCTGACAATTTGATGCTTGACCATAGTTCCAAATAATTTGCCCGGTACCGCCGTTAGGCTTGCCGGTCTGTAATTGCCAGGGTGGCCTCTAGAGCCCCTTTAAAAATATTAGCGTCCCATTAGCTGTCTTTCCAGTCATTAAGTAGAGAAGCGCGATTGAAAGGCGAGGTTACAAACCCCCGGTAATAGTTGCGCGGTTTCACATTTGACTTCTTCTTCTTCTTTTCAGAACTCTTGGGTGAATGGCGTCTGGTCCCGCCGACTTGTCACGGTGAAGTTTTATGCGTTGCTTCCGAAAGCTCCTCTAGTGACACCTCAGTCTGGGACAATTCCTCCGATGTGTCAGCTCCAGAGAATTGCTCAGCTTTGGGAATCTCCCAAACTCCAGCGTCAGCTGTGAAGACGAAAGCGAAGAATTCATTTAGTTTCTCCAACGACCTAATGGTCTTGGAGTGCTCCTTTAGCATTTTGAGGGTCAAGTGGCCCCCGCTGGCTGTTGAGCAGGCTTTTTCCTGCTTCTGATGTACTTAACCAAATGTGTGGGTTTTGAATACTTTTTTTTTTTTTTTTAACGTTGGCTAGCTGTTCTTCATACTCCTCTTGGCTTTCCTTCCTCCTCCTTTTTCTCTTTCTCTTTCTCCGTCTCCTTCTCCGTCTTCTATTTTTCCACTTAATCGGACTGTTGATGCTCCTTTCTGTTTTCCTCCCTGGGATTTAACTTGCACTTCTTTTTCAACGCTGCCTTTTTTCTCTCACTGCTGCTTTTACTTGGTGGTTCTCTTGCTGTGTTTTTTAACGTGGGGTATACATTTAAGTTGGGCCTCTCTTACGGTGTCTTTGAAAAGCGTCCGTGCAGCTTGCAGGGGTTTTCCCTTTGTCACTGTACCTTGTCGATTTCTGCTTAGCCAGCCTCCTCGTTTTTGCGTAGTTCCCCTTTCCGAAATTCGGTGCCACAGTGTTGGGCTGCTGAGGTGTTTAACTTCCCTGTGGTGGGAAAAGAAACTTGATGAGATTAGGGTCACCATTTCCAAGCGGTCCAGTTCTCTCGGGCCAGATCCCGTGCTCCGCTTAGGACTAAGTCAAGAATTGCCTCTCCCCTGGTGGGTGCTGGAACCAGTGGCTCCAAGAAGCAATCGTTTGAAGGTGTCAGGAATAGTGACCCGTGCGTCCCGTCCTGAGGTGAGGTGAGGTGTAGCCAGTTGATAGTTGAAATCCCCCACTGTTATTACTGCGGTTTTTATTTGGATGGCCTCGCTAATCTCCCTTAGCGTTTCGTAGTCCCTATCGCTGTCCTGGTCAGGTGGCGTATAATAGTTTCCTACGGCTATCTTCCTCTTCTTCATGGAGCATGGAATTACTCCCCACAGAGATTCCGTGGAACATTTTGGTTCCTTTAAGACTTTTACTTGACTCGATTCTGCATTTTCTTTCATGGATAGTGCCCCTCCCCCAGCAGTACGACCTGTTGTGTCCTTCTGATCCATCTCCCGGGTATGACTGTCCCATTGATTGTCCTCGTTCCGGCGGTGCCTATAGTGTCGATGTCCTCCTTTGATACGAGGCACTCTGGTTCAGCCACTTGATGTTTAGACGTCCTGCGTTTGTGTAGAAGCGCTTGACAAATGTCACTCTTGATGTGTCTGCCGTTTCTAGACGTTAGCCTTTTTTTTTTAACATACAAACACAACAAGCCTTTCCCAAGGGTACCCCAGTATCCGTTGTCTAGGGAGGCAGAAGAGGGCATTAAGCCTGTAATCTTTCCCTCCTTGAACAAGGGATACTTGTTTTATACAACTTCACCATGTAATACGCCTATACTACCTGTGAAAAATGAGGAAAAATTTGACAGCCAGGGTAAGCAAATCTATAGATTTGTACAAGACCTAAGAGCCATTAACAAGTTTGTAATCACTAGATTGGCAGTAGTACCTAACCCTCCTACTATTCTTCCCTCTATTCCACCCACTTCTAAATGGTTCTCTGTAATAGATTTATGTTCTTATGCACTGGAATAGAAAAAAAGGCAGAATTCCCATTTTCTCTTTGCCTCTTCCTTTCAGGGTCGTCAACCTGGACACGTTTTCCCCAAAGTTATTGTGAAAGCCCTACTCTGTTTTCCAAGTTTTTAAAAGCTGACCTTAATTCTATCCCTCTTCCCTGCAGCTCTGTGTTGGTTCAGTATGTTGTTGATGTGTTAATTGCTAGAAAAACTGAGACACGGTGTAAAACTGATACCTTCTGTTAAAATGTCTTGCTGGATAGGGTCACAAGCTTATCCCTTTAACTTGTGCTTGCCTTTTAGCTTCTGGACATTTATACTGACTCAAAGTATGCTTTCTCTGTCTGTCATGCCACAGGATAAATCTGGAAACAAGGAGGTTTCCTTCTCTCTTCTGGCTCCGCTATCTCTCATGGTCCTCTTACCTCCCAACTTTTTGATGCTATTCAGCTACCCATATCCCTCTATTACCCATTGCCCAGCCCGCACAGGTGCTAATGATCCTGTTTCTCTGGGCAATGGGAGGGCTGCTGCAACGGCCAGACATACAGCAGCACATGGACCTCTGGCTCCCTTTCAGATTCTGGTCTCTCTTTCTCTCCCTGTTTCTTTGTAGGACCTGATGGAACTAAAGCAAGCTGCTCAACCTGCAGAGAAACCTTTGGGAGAAAGCAGGCTGCTCCTTATCTCCTGTTGGGATAATGGTTGCACCTCATGGCCACCCAGTTGCCCCAAGATCTCTCACATGGCAGCTTGCTCAGGTGTCTCATGAGAAGACACACATAAGCAAAAGGGGGGTGGGCCTCACAGATCCTAAAACAATGGTATGCCCCAGG